GTCGGATTTTTGGAATTTAGAAAAAAAAAACGGGTTTTTTTTTTGTGTTCGGGGAAACGAAACGACGATTTAACGAAAGACATGGCCCGTGAAAATAATAAGAGCATCTCCAATGTAACTTTTGACATTATAAAAAGTCATCCATATCATCAACTTTTGAAAGTGTGTCTCTATTTTTTTCTCCAACGCATCTTGTCATGAACTCTTTCATGATGAGGTGGATGTCATTTAATGTTGACAATGTTGAGCACACTTTCTAATATCTAACACCATGTTAAACATGATGACTCATCAATTTACTTTATATTTGTTTTAATTTTTTATTTTTTTGTATCAATGAATTATTTAATTGGTCCACCTATACAAATAACTTTTTATCAAATTGATGCATTGGAGATACTAGTTTCATTAAAATTTTTAGTCTTTTAACATTATTCCAATGTGGATTAACATTACAATCACTAATTGACATGTGTTAAAAATAATGGTCTTTCACACTTATAGCATTGGAGATGCTCTAAACAAAACTCCGAATTTCACGAGAATATTACGCAGCAAAATAAAGGCTCGACATATCGCAAGCGAGAGTTCCAATCCACATAAATCCACGAGACATCAATGAGCAAACGAAACGATCCGATATAAATTCCAACAACTAACGATAATTGGTTCAACGAGCACGATAAATCCAACAGCATGATATTCGAGTACAAGATTAAAACAAGGATGTTCAGACATTACCGTACTCCATGGAATCTACAAGCTCGGTTAAAAGAAAAACGAAAGAGACAAATGATACGAACGGACGGCGGAACTCGAAACCTCTAGGAAGTTCGGGCTGGAACTCGATAGACGATCGCTCGATGATAACCAAGATGCTGCTCGCGAATGGAAAACGGTGCTGCCTGATAGAACGGCTATCGGCGACGGTAGGGAGGGTCGCCGGAGAAGGGACAGGCGACGGGAATTCTTCTTCTTCTTTTTTTTTTTTTTTTTCTGCGATTTGAAAGGTAGAGAGTTCGAATGATTCTGGGAAGAGAGGAAACTCCTCAGTGATGTATTTGAAGCGAGAGTTGAGACAAGCGAACGTGCGGGGTGATTTCACCATAAGAATCACAACAAGAATCTGAAGTGATGACTCAGTCGACGAGAGTTATCCTATTCTGCTCCCAATTGGTCATGTGCAGGAAATAAAAGAATGGGCCAAGAACTTATTAAAAGAATTTTAGGCCGAAAGAAAAAGGTGAAAATACACATACACGTGTAAATCAAACAACATGTGCCAATTAACGAGATTTTAAAGTTAAACGCAGATTTGTAGCCACATAAAACTTAATTACCCAAAATTACGAAGCTACAACAGAAGGAAGAACATCTGTGGAAATCAACTCAATCTACCCCAAAATCAGCTCGCGAGAAACTCAATCTACCCCAATATTTTCGCCATTGTTGGAACAATCCAAAACAGAAAAACTCACCTTTCGAGTATGGAAAATGTGGAATCGTGTCGAGAGGGAATTTTCTGAATCTCGAGCTCGCGAACACTTTCGATCTGGGAGATTGAAGGTATATTTTGAATATTTTTCGTCTGATTTGAAGTAGCCAATGCTATTTTCATTGAACAGAAGCTTAATTTTCAACAATGGCGGCTTGGGTGTATTTTTTTTTTAGCCAATCCGTTTTTTGTAGTATTAATTGAGGTATTTTTGTGGTAATCTGCAGCAATATGTCGAAAATTATGGTGTTTTTGCACTACAATGGAGAGTGGTGTAACAACACTTACATTGATTTTGAAGTTGGGGGAATATCTATGAATCAGAGTTGTTGTTTTAGTGATTTCACCAAGCAAGTTGCAGATTTACTAAAGATAAACCACATGGAATCAAGGTGGAGTTTTAAGTATCAGGTACGAGATGGATATCCAACCATTAAAATTGATGATGATCAAAGCCTTGGATTCTACATGGATTTGAAGTCAAGTGAGGTTGATTACACTAAGTTTCCAGTATGTGTGATTAAGGAACAAAAAAATACTTTGATTCCAGTTCCACTCCTCATCAATGCCGATCACAGTGAAGTTGCAGGGAATGAGGGCATTGTTTCTGCTTTGGACTTTGATCAAATTGACTATGAAGGTTCAAAGTATATGAATTTTATGGATTTTGCAAGAGAAGCTGCCGAATCCATGTCGTTAGCTGCATCAAGTGTTGAACAACAACAGACCACATACGGAGCTGTTGATACGACATCAGTTAATGCGGTCGAAGTGATGCACAATCCATCAATTGGACATTCATTTACCAGCAAAACTAGTCTGCAGAAAATGCTTGCGTTATATGCAATCAAGCACCAGTTCCAATTCAAGGTACAAAAATCGTGTCCTAAACAGTACTTCGTAAAGTGTGTATGGGATGGGTGCAATTGGTTCATTAAATCATCTCGAGTAGGACAGTCGAGTATGTTCAAAATTAGGGAAATGGTGATAGATCACAACTGTCCATTTGAGGTGAGAACAAACAACCAACGACAAGCTACGTCAACACTTGTTAGTGAATGCATAAAGGGGAAATTCACAAACGTGACAACAAAATACAACGCTGCAGAAATTATACACGATATGAAGTTGACATATGGCATCGATTTATCATACAAAAAGGCATGGAGATCAAAGCGCAAGGCTCTAGACGAGGTACAGGGAAAACCGGATGAATCATACTAATACATTCATGAGTACCTCCAAAAGCTCTGTCACTCGAATCCTGGAAGCATTGTGAATCTCTGTACTACTGAAGATAAACATTTTGTGTACCTGTTCATGTGTCTAAATGATTCGATCAAGGGCTGGCCACATTGTAGGCCTATCATTGTTGTTGATGGCACGTTTCTAAAATCTACATATGGAGGAGTTTTACTCACAGCGTGTACGCAAGATGCAAATTCGCACGTACTCCCACTTGCTTTCTGCATCGTGGACTCGGAAAACAATGAGTCATACTCTTGGTTTTTCAGCAAATTGAAATCTGCCCTACCTGAGAGAGAGGGATTATGCATTGTCTCAGACGCTCATGAAAGCATCAAATACGCCATATCAAAAGTAACTACGAAAACAACAGTATATTTCTTCTTTTTATGGATGACCTGCAAGATAAGTGTCGACTTTTGAATGATTATGTTCTGTACTTTATAAAATGTAGGTATATCCAGAAGCTTCGCATTGCTTGTGCACTTACCACCTCGCCAACAATCTGAGGAATAACTATAGAATAGCGACAACGGAAGTTAAGCATGCATTTATTTCAGCCTCTAGAGCATATACAAAGGAAGAGTTCAACAGGTATATGCTGGAACTGAAGAGGTTGGATCCAAGGGTACCAACACATCTTGAAAAAGTAGGTTTCCACAAATGGGCTCGTATCCACTGCCAAGAAAATAGATTCTTCACAATGACGTCAAACGCAGCAGAAACTATAAACTCGGCTACGAAAGTGGTGGGTGAATTACCTATAACAACGTTGCTTGAATCTTTGAGATCAATACAGCAAAAATGGAACGTGGCAAATCGAGATGAGGCAAAGTGCATGTTTACTATTCTGACAAAAAAAGCAAACAATATCCTTGAAGAAAATTACAAAGTGGCTTCCCGTTTGTTTGTAAGTTTATATTATGTTTATATTGTAATAATTTAATAGAATAAGTAATCTGTATGAAACTGAATTTGTGGATGAAAAGGAATTTGTGTATATGTTGACAGGTCCAGAAGGCGAGCGACCAAGTTTATAAGGTGTATAACGACGTGTATTCACATGTCATAAATTTGGAGCCAAGACATGCACTTGCAATCGGTTTCAAATGGACGAGCTACCATGTCCACATGCCATACGCGTCATTCGGTCTTTACATATTGATTCAGTGCCATTTTGCTCTGATTATTATAGGACGACTAACTTTTTGGAGACGTATGGTGAAGTAGTTTATCCTATCGAAGGTCCGCAAACATTTGATGCTGTGGACAATAAAAAACAGAGACAGGTGCAACCACCTATAGGCAAAGCGAAGTCGGGGCGTCGGCGAAAACAACGATACAAGTCTCCATTTGAGGCTCCTAAAAAGAACAAGTGTGGAAAATGCGACGGGAGGGGCCATAATGTAAAGACCTGTCCAAATCCTCCAAAGATTAGAGTAGATAACCATTGATGACACTTGTTGAAGTTGCAGGATTTTTTTTTTTTCAATTATTTTCAAAGTTGATGCTCTGTTGATCTAATTTGGTGCTATGTTGGGGACTACCAGTTTACAATGAGTTTTATGTTCTGGACATAACAAGTTTTTATTTTTATTTTATTTTTTTATTTTTTTTGTTTTTTTGCCTAATATGAGTAAATATATATGATTCTATTTTAGTGTCAACAAAGAATATTTTTTGAGTGCATGAGTTAATATATTGGTTTTTATATAGATTGCTATTGGTCCTTGAAATTGTGTTATATTGGTGGTATCAATTTTTGAACAACATTTAGAGATTAGAATGTGTTTGATGATAGTGTAGTTGTGAATGAATGTATATGTAATTTAATAGTTAAGAAAATGTTTAGATTATCCAAAGAGAAACTGAGAAAATACAAAAAGTAAACACCAAATGGACACATTATAAATTAAAAACAATTAAACTTGCTAAAAATATTGTGTATTAAAACAACTACTAAAAATAAGTCAGTTATTCATATTAAAACGATCAACTTTTTCACAATTATAATATAGTTTAGAAATTCCATAAATAAACACATAAATTACACAAGTTCAAAAAATATTGGTACTTGATAGTCAATGGTAGACATGAAAAACACTACAAGTAAAATACATAAATAAGTTACTCAGTAAAATATACAATAAGTAAAATACAGAAATACCACAAGTATTCCTTGAACAAACATAAGAATTGGAGAAAAATGTAATATCATACATAAAAACACCAAGAAATAAACCTGATAATATACAATCATTCAAAACATGTCCAACATATTCCATAACACACCATGCCCAAAAGGAGAAACACCAGAGTTTAGTTTGTCTACATAGTCTGACAAAAAATACATGATAGAACAACAATGTCAACCAAACTCGTTAAACATCAAATTCAGATGCTAATTAGTATAGGGAAGTACTAGCAAACTTCGATAATTTGCCGGCAACGGACCAGGCGAATCATCATCACTCTCGGAATCTTTTTCCTGCTTCAATTTTCCATGTGTGTACAATAGGTATGAAAATCTTGACCGCTCGATATCAACGTCAAACGTAGCAGCATTGATGGGCTCATTAGAAACAATATACTCCGCAAACGAAGCAACGAATACGCCACAATCACTGGCAAGTATGAAAAACAAAAAATACAGAAAAAATGAATGTAATTAAATTTAAATAGAAAAGAACTATTAAAGTTATAAACTATATTAAAATACAACTTACCAGAATAGCTGCTGGGGCAAATCTTCCACGAAAATGACATCAAGAGGATCATTCTCTGCCTTTCCCGAGTATGGACCAATGTTTTTTTTTTTGTCAGCACGTCTAGAGACAAATTTTACCATAGCAAGAAATATGGGGATCAATATGGAATATCGCTTGACACTCTAGCACAACCTGGTCAAAATCAGTCGATCGATAGGAGTTATAAATCATCAACGTTCTAGTTGCGAACGACAACCTCCCTAATATCCAATGGCCAACACCTTCCAACTCAACATGAATCGGAAAGAGTACGTAATCAACATCGAGCCATGACTCCCCGCACAGAATTTTGAATCCAAACATGTAGTCGACAATGACATTATCAATCGTACAAATCCGGGGGTCACATGAGTTAACAATGTATAAAGAATATAGTGATTTCATCTGCTGGTCGAAAAAATTATCAGTGGTAGTAAATTTCTGAGAAGGTAGTTCAAGAGCATACAATCCAATCTTTCGGATGTAGTAGAACAAAACATCAATATGCTGAAAAAAAAAATATTTAAAAATTAGAACGCGAAAAAAGAAAAAAGGATGAAGACAAACACAGATAAATGATACTTACACTACCATCAAGGAAACAATTGGATTCATACAAGGTGAAGAACCAATTCTTATCCGAAACCACGTCAACATTAAAATCAAATGGGGGGCTTAAGATTGTGTTCTTCTTGTCATAGTACACGAACCTTTCAGAAGATGAATTAAATATAAAATAAGAAGAATGAACAAATGACGGAATGTAATAAAAACAACAAAATGAAAGTACATACCCTTCATTTTTCTTACGCCGATTCTTAAGTTTACCCACTTTCAACCACTCAATGAGATCCGAAGTTAAATCAAACCGCATCGTGTCCCAAAAATCAGTGTCAAAAGGGCATGACTTACAAATAACTTGTCTTTTTTTTACACGTTTGATTTTCTCAAATGGAATGTCGACCACCGACACAAGATCATCCACATTTTGGTTACCCCGTATACCAATATCAAGACCTCCAATAACACCAGGAGTGTCATTCATTAAAGAAACATAACAGATCAATAGCTATGCATAAAAATAATAAGCTATATACTTCAAGGAAAACATGAGGTTTACTTTACGACATCGAAAGGTAAGATAAACTGTGAATAAACTTTTTGACTTCAGTTCAAGGAAAACATGAGGTTTACATGTAGACATCAAAAGGAAAAAAACACTACAGATAAACCACAAATATATATATAAGTATAACCACAGATAAACCAACAAAAAACCACAGATAAACCATAGATATATATATATATATATATATAAGTATAACCAAAAATAAACCAAAGATAAATCAACAAAAAAACACACAAAAAACAAAAAATAAAACCAACAAAACACCACAGATAAACATAACAGATCAATAGATATGCATAAAAATAATAAGCTATATACTTCGAGGAAAACATGAGGTTTACTTTACGACATCGAAAGGTAAGATAAACTGTGAATAAACTTTTTGACGTTCAAGGAAAACATGAGGTTTACATTTAGACATCAAAAGAAAAAATACACAACAAATAAACCAACAAAAAACCACAGATAAACCACAGATATATATATAAGTATAACCACAGATAAACCAACAAAAAACCACAGATAAACCACAGATATATATATATATATATATATATATATATATAAGTATAACCACAAATAAACCAAAGACAAACCAACAAAAAAACACACAAAAAACAACAAATAAAACCAACAAAAAACCATATTGAAACATTTTCATGAACAGTTGTAAATATAGAAGTTATATACACAAGAGTAAAGTCATATTACATTTTTGTTGGCACTTAGCATGCTTTTTAATTTTCCCTCGGTCGTCCTATCAATCTCATCCATCATTTGCGGGGTCAAAACAGGGAAACCATCAACATCGAAATCTACATTATGTTCACCATTCCCTTGTACAAACTGAGAAACATATCAACCAAATAAAAAAAGGATTACTGATTTTAAATGTAGACTTAGTTGTGATCATAGAAATAAAATCAAATAATTACACTTATAACTTCAGCATCAACTTCCTTGTGGATCCCGACGTTTTCTTGATGACGACTACTTTCTGGAACATCGTTAGGTTTAGCACCTTCTCCATCATTTAATCCCTTAGAAAGTAAACACAGTTAACTTAGATAAAAAATAAATTACGAAAACTCTGATGATACAGAATAAATTTAACTTAGATATGTTATGTTAAGAAGAAAAAATTGTAGATTGAGCATATACCGTTCAAGAAATATCTTGGTTATCCACATCATGGGGAGATCTTGTTGTTTATCACTTTCTTCATGCTGATACATAGTTAAGTGAAAATATTAAAAAAAGAAACACATGTATTCCATGTATATATATATGTAAAAGTAAACCAAAAATAGACCAATTATAAACTTACCAACATTGTTTCTTTAAGACTGAGTATCTCATGCATCACTTTAGTCGAAAAGTCAGTAAACAACTTCTTCAAATCATCCAAATCATTCATAATCTTCACTTGGTTTGAAGACAACTCGTTTAAACGTCCTATAAAAGGAGTCTCGGTTGCACCGGGAACAGAGAATGTAGGAGTACTTTGAGATTCATTACGGATGAACTCGTTCCTTTCGACAAAAAAACCGTCCAGCTGAAGGATCGTCTTCTCCGATTCAGTGGGAGTTATATTTTTGAACTGTAGGGATTAATACACATTAAAAAATAAAAGAACTTAAAGCAATGTTATGAAAAGATAACTTAATAGTAAAATATTATAATAAGCAACTAATAGAAACCGTATCTGATGGCAAGGTCAAGAAAACCCTCTGGATAAGTCGTCTACCACATCTCATGTGTGCCTCCCAATTTAACATCTGGGGCACATTAGGAACTGAAAGACGGGTACATATGACTCCATCTGTGCTATCACACACCTCATAAAACCACACCTGAAGCGATAGTAAACCCACGTATCCTATAAAGATATACTCTTTTTTCAGTGCCATCTAATTTCTGAAGCAAAGACTCCTTGTTACGAGACAACATCTTTAGATAATCAAGGGTGTAGTCGTACACCTCTTTACCCCACGGATAGTTATCACAATCTTGGCTATCAAGAATATCTAAGAAACACCTATCAAACAAAAGATTATCCTGAGCACCCATGAGCAAATTCGCGAGCAAGTGAAGCTTGGCCAGTTTCACTCCATCATGGTCATTTATCCACGCTCTATTAAGAAATAGACATTTAATAGAATGACGGTTCAAGCCAACATTGGCGAAATATCTGTCAAAAAGACCATCAGGGACGGGGGGATAACAAAGCTTTTTACATAAGCCATTACAATTTAGACCACTTATCACAGCGAACTCCTCAACCCCAAATCTCATGATCTTCCCACCAAAGTCAAACCACATTTCATCTAACCTCGGTTGGTGTACTTCTCGTAATGAAATCAAATTGACAAGTTGATTCTGAATCTTATAATGAGGTAGGTCTATAAATTTACCAAAAGTAGAATTTCTAAACACCTCCAATTGATCGTTGGACAACAAACGCTTAATGTCAGCAATAGGTGTGGTAGAACGACTGTTATCATTGTTGTTGATTATCTTCACGATCAATGCTCTTGAGTTTGGAAAAAGCGATTCCCAGTCCTAATGAAAACAACAAACAATTGATACCAACAATAGCAGTAAAACATATAGAATAGATCTAACGAGTTTATACAGACATGAACATTAGTACCAACAATGACATTATTTGTTTGTCAACATAGATAGCAACAATTTTTGTGAGGATCAACAAATAAATCAATTAAAAAAAAATTGGACAAAATTAAAGATAAATTATATGAACACTGATACTAGGAAAAATACTTCTAAAGGAAAAAAATACCTTGTGTTCTCTTTGGTGTTTATTCCCGGCATCTTCATCTTCAAACTCGGAACAACTCGATTTATGCTTATGTGTGTTGCCCTTGGACCTCCTCAGTACTGATTTGTTAGCCTCAGAGCTATCTTCACTTTCTTCTTCATCCACAGGAACACATTGTTCAACTTCGAAATCAGAATCGATGTCATCTGGATATTTAACCTTCCTCTTCCCATTAGCATCTCCGTTTCGCTCCATAGCATTCTTCTGAGAAAATCGCTTCTTCTGAGCACTGGAACGAGTTATCGGACATCTGACATGCGAGTGTTCTCCAATACCTTTGGTCTACACATTCTTCTTGCCAAACTGAATTTTCTTTTGAACAAGCCTCCGACGGCGCTGAACTTCAACTTTCCGATGATTTTGCTCCAGATTTCCTTCACCTCCAGATGAAGTATCAGAGACATAATTTTCATCCTCAACTTTCGCCATTAATTCATCTGCACAATTGATTTTGGGATTTTATTTTGAACAAATTAGGGAAGAATGAAGAAAAACGGTGAGCATCGACATCAATTGAGATCTGTAATTTTTGATATGCGTGTGGGCAGGAAACGTGTTTGAGAAGAGCCGAATCTCGAGAAATCTTGAGATACGGTTTTATTCACATTAATTAGCACTAATTAATCAGATTCCTAAAGTGGAATTGAACGTGTACTAATTTCGTATTTTCCGACCGGACAGAAGTTAATTGCGAAGATTTTTTGATTCTCGTTAAAATGCCAAAATAAAAATATTTGTACGTCTCCGGGGTAATTTTTTCAAAGAAAAATTAACTCAACTTGGGCCGAAAATTAATAAAAGGACTGGGCCAGGAATAATGGTGGTTTTTGGCTGATTTACCAAATTCAATTTGGACCAAAATAAAATTAAAAAAAAAAAAAGGCTGGAACAAAAGGTAGAATATCCCATATAATCGGGCCGAAATATTTCTCGATAAATTGGTCCGGAGGAGATACAACACGATTACGAGAATTTCCGGTCGATACGATTGACGAAATAATAATAATAATAATAATAATAATAATAATAATAATAATAATAATAATAATAATAATAATAAATCATTCTCAAAATTTCCATAATCCAACGGGGCATTACATACATTATTTTATATATGTACTTAATAGTAATTTTACTTGAAATTTGAGTCGAACTCAACCCGAGCTCGAACAATCATTTATATTTCTATTGATCTCTACCCGAGCTTGATCAGTTGTCTTCTTTTGTTGAGTTGATCTCGAGTGTCATAAATCGAGATCAAATAGGTAAAAAAAAATCGATGTTGCTCGATATGACCAATGCTTGAGTCGTCTTGGATCGTTTGTAGCACTATATGTAGGATGGCAAGACTTTGCAAATGTGGTCAGTAGTTTGGGAATGGACCACAACTAAGAAAGAGGCTACTATCTTGGCCGTGAGATGGATATTCGAAGTTGTACGATAGGTGTGGAATGATATAGCCTACTATTTGGATTCAAAAGATAATATATTTTTACTAAAATCAAAAAAGTCTTTGGGATCTTATTCTGATTTTGTTTTGGAGGATATTTTCCTTATGCCTTCTTTGCTTAGTTCATGTGTTTCTTGTTTAGTTATGCCCCTAGTTGTTCATTTGTTTAAGCCATGTTGGCTTTGTAGGGAGAGTTGGGTGTAACTCTCTCGTGGTTTCTTCACTTGTTGCTGTTCAGGTTGAAATTGTGTGATCAGTTGATTATTCATATGTATATTTTGAGGTTATTAATATAATTTGTTCGTTTCGAAAAAAAAAAAAAAAATGTTATGAACATAGATCATAACGCGAAATTTTTAGGAATAACATTAATTGAATGATTGGTATAATGGAATGAAATTTCATAGGAATGGAATGACTATGGGAATAGAATGAAACAAGTTTTGTCATTGTTGCGTTTGATATGTAGAAGAAATAAGACCTGAATGTAATGACATATCATTTTTTATTATAAAAATAAATAAAAGATTTTTTTTAAAATGATATATTTTTAATAAATTATATATAAATACTTTTTTTAATAAAATATAAAAATAAAATAATACATTTTTAATAATATATAAAAATAAAATAATATATTTTTTAATAATATATTTTTAATAAAATAAAATAATATATTTTTAAATTATATATAAAAAATAATATATTCTTAAAATTAATATATTTTTAATATATAAAAAATAATATATTAAAATAAAAAGTAATATATTTTTAATTATTTATATTTTTATTATTTAACTAAACAATAAATAAAAGTATGTTTTCAATTTTTTATTTGAATTTTATTTTTTTAAATAATATATTTTTAATAATATATAAAAATAAAAAAGTAATATATTTTTAATAATGAATATTTTTAATATTTTTAATAATATATTTTTAAAAGTAATATATTTTAATATATAAAAAATAATATGTTTATATTAGTATATAAAAATAAAATAATATATTTATAAATTATATATAAATGCTTTTTTTAGTTTTATTTTTATATAAGTATTTAATATATCTATTTAAACAATAAATAAAAGTAAGTTTTCAATTTTTTTATTTGAATTTTATTTTTTAAAATAATTTTATTTAATATATTTTAATCATAATTTATAATATATATTATAATTAGTTTTATTTGTTAATTTTATTGTTTGAAAAAATTGATTCCTACACACATGGGAATGAGAAAACTTTCTATTAACTATGGAATGGCTAATCCCATGGAGATTGGTTTTGCCATTTCCATTGGAATGGCCATTCATCTCCAAAAAATATACCAATCATGGGATAAGGAATGAGTAAGAGAATGACCATTCCATTCCCATGTCATTCTTTCCTACCAATCATGTCATAATTGAATAGTCAGTACAAGTCAGGGCCCAATTGAAAAAGGGACCTCTAAAATATTTGTACGTTTAACATGTCTATTTCATATCTCTATATAATACACAAGCTAATACATGTAATTAGGTCAATTTCATATCTCAATATAGTAAATACAAATTGTATAAACCCATTAAAACAATACAAATATGGCACTCTTTTTTCACAAATATTAAAGAACTCCCTTGCCAATGATCTCTTGGCCTAGTGGTTGAGAGTGAGGTACCCTTGACATGAAGTCAAGGGTTCAATCCCCACAAAGTGCAGTGGTGGAACAATTAATACTAAGGACTGCNCTTAAAAATAATTAAAGTTATTTGTGCAACTTTACTGAAATTCTAAATCACAATCAAGAAAGTCCAATTCAATTCACTCTTTGTAGGCTAATCCTATAATGTATTTTTCTTATTGGCTTGTGTATTATAATCACTACTTATTATAATTAATTAATATCACATCAAATAAAATGTCATTCAATTAGCTCATAAAATTTACATCATGCATTCATTCCAAAATCACACGGCTTCATCTTAGATGATTAATGGTGCAGCTCATAACAGTGGACATATAGAACTATTATTATGCAGTTTGAGATCTATATAAGTTTTATAATATTGAATGAAAAAAATGGGCATTATTTTTCACAAGACATTTGGCGTCATCTGGCCCCGGGCCGCGCTAACAAGGGCCTGGGCCGGCTGTGTACATAGATTAGTAAATACAAACACAATAAATCAATTGTATATGCAAATGCAACCAAATTGTATTTCATTTATTCTATAAAGAAAGAGAAAAAACCTTCCCAATTGAAATATACATAGTCCAAGTGATGCTACACAATAATACCAAGAGAACATATTGTATATATGCAAATCAACATGATTTAAAGTTGAGGTATGTCTCTATTTCCATAGGCTCACGCCTCCTCAGGTACACTTTCAATCCGTATTTCATGTACATCGTGAGGGCCATTTTTGGCTCCACCGGCAGGCCCTCCACGACCACAATGCGGTACCGGAACAAGATCGAGGCTGCCACGAATTTCATCTGGTAGTAAGCAAAGTCCTTGCCCAGGCAAAGGCGGGGCCCTCCGTTAAAAGCTGCGAACTTGTAGGCCGACTCGCTCATAAACTGGCCGTTCCGCAGCCACCTGTCTGGGTTGAAATCTCTACAGTCTTTTCCCCAAATATTTTCCATTCTCCCCATGGAGTAGATTGAGTACACTACTTTTGTTCCTTTTTTCAGCTTTGTTCCATCTGGAAACTCATCATCCTCCAAAACCTATATGAACATATGAAACAAACTAATTTTAGTTTG